AAACAATAGAAGACAATAAAACAAAGCAAGGAAGATGAAATATGAAAAGGTTAAAGGTCAAATATGTCAAAGAAGCTCTTTTAAGTATTGCAGGGGAGGCAAGAGAATGTGCAGGTCCCCAGATTTTCCTGGAAATTAACAACTATTTAAGAAACAGAGAGGCTCTCCAGAAAGAACTGCATTACTTCCTGGCTACATGCAGAGCAGATTTCTTGAAACTGGTAACCAACTTGTACAAATCAGATAGGTACACATGTACATATACAAAAATACAGGTGTTCACACATGCCTTTTTCAGAAACAGGCTTTAGATATCCAAATATAAAAGTCTGCATGAGAACAGATTTTAAAAAATGGCAAAGGTATTTTTAAAGATAAAAATTGAGCATTTAAGAAGTATGGCCTCACTAACAACCACACATAAAAAAAAAAACCAACAAATTATATTTGACATATCAACATAGAACACCACTATCAGGAACAAAGCAAGCCAGGTCAATCAATATCTGGCCTATTTGGTTGTTGATAAGTAACCTCCATTATAAGGGATTTGTTTAAGTGAAAGAAGCATACAACTGGCATCTGACCTGACAGCTGCTTCCAATTTAACCCTCTGCTCGGTGTGTTACAGGACGTGTAAGTAGGGCCTATGAACTTACATTATCAGAAATATTTCTTTAAAAACCATAAAAGTATTTGTCATAGATTGTACTACAAGCAGAAACTTAATTCCTAACAAGTGAAAAAAAAATTCTCTACCTTCTTAGGGTCCATGTTGAATTTCTTCCTTCCCATGGCTATTTGCTTATTTCTTTGTGTAGTTTTGCTACATATGGAGACAAAAAAGAAACAACAGTCACTCTTTTACAAAAAGACTTCTAGATGAGCTTTTAATTTATGTTTTGGCTACTTTTATTTTCTACTACAAAATCAAGACATTCATTTTTATAATGGAGAAAATTATTACACAATTTTCAACTCCTTTAAGCAATTGCAGCTTCAGAAACCCATATCCCTATCAACTGGACAGTAAAATATTACACTCCATACAACATACTCTCTATCCAAACAAATGACACGCCTGCATGGGATAAAGTCAGGCTTTATTACAGACTAAATAAAGGTAATCCATCGTTTGTTTAGTATGGGAAAGGTATTTTCACTTGCTGTTCCTGGAATACCTGTTCCAAGGTCCTACTGAATCATGTCAGTATGTTGGCATTACTTACCTTTCTTCTACACTAGTCAGATTATCAATTTCAGTCATAACCTCAGCAATTTCAAATTTTAATCTCTGTCAAAAGAAGAAAGGACAGTACATTAACCTACATTAGAACATCTTTTGAAATAATCTATCATATATAATCATATGATCAATTAGGTTTTATTTTCTAATATTTGTTATTTACCTGAAGAAAAGTGAACAATCTTAGGGCTTCCTTAGATATTTAAAGATTTTACCACAACTGAATCACTGTTAAGCACATGAATCTACACTCTCAGTGTGCGCTCGTGCCAGAGCACCAAGACGAAGCTGCCATTATCAATTAATAAGATTTCTTTACCCACATTTCTCACTCACTCCTATCCTGGATGCAAATCTGCTGTTTAACGAGTTTTTGATTACACAGATCAAATGTGGACATCTGCACATATTGCATTACATAAATTCAAAAGTTAGTATTTTTAAAAGCAGTATTTTTAAAAGCACACATATGATGCATAAATCCTGTTCACTGTTAGGAGTATTTAGCTTAAGTAGTTTACATGCTTTTAAAACCATTAGCTGAAATTCATATTTAGGTCTGTAACTTAATCTACTGAAGGAGCCTTCTAAGGATCTTCACAGTAAATCAATTACCTCAATATCATCAATCAGTTCCTTTTTCCTGCGACGAATATTTAAAAGCTCTTCTCTTTCTTCCAAGGAGAGGTCATCAGGCACTGGAATGGAGCAAAATGTACAATTTTTTAGCATTTGCAAACATACCTCATTGTCACAGAAAACTTAATAAACTGATTAGAAAAAATAAGCTTATATGGAATATCAGGACATATCTTTTACATCATATTCAGGAAAAAAAACAAAAAGAAATTAAAACAAACAACACAAATTAAACCTAAATCTAATATATTTGTAATCTGCTTTATAAAAATCCTAAGTAAGGTAACTGAATGAATGACTATGGACAAAATCTCTCAAAAGGAAAACAGACAGTCAAAGGCATCTTGTTATCATACAACGTGGCAAGATTTGATTCAACTGCTTAATTGTCAAATTCAAGTCAGATATATATA